TGAAGTTCCCTAGAAGGGGAACGTCTCGGGTTACGTATGTAACCATAGTTCCCCGAGAGGGAACGAGACACTGCGTATTCCGCCATACTCTCTTCTGCCTGTTACTTCTTTCAAGCAAATTCGAAGTTGATACTGAATGCTCAGTACAGGCTTTTATACTCTCTGGTCTGACGACACCTGCTTAATTACATTAGATTGATTTCACATGTGCTTCAAGACGCGTATAAAAGAGGTGTTCCCCTAGCGTTCTGGTTAGACGCAGTGTCTCGTTCCCTCTCGGGGAACTATGGTTACATACGTAACCCGAGACGTTCTCCAAAAGAAAAAAACATCTATATAAAATACTGTGAAATATCCTCACTCTGTTAAATATCTTTTGGGAAATATTTGAAGAAGACAAAATATCACAGGAGGTTAATAATTTTGACTTCAACTGTACATATTAAATATTTAATAAACATCATGCTTATTCTAACAGATCATTTTGAAAATATATACAGTAAAACCTGAAATGATTCATACCCCTAGCAAAGTTTTAGTTAAAGTTTTTGTTTAAATGTAAATCAAAGCTGAGAAACTCGTATAGTTTTGGATGGGAAAAAATGTACTGTCAATATGGTGAATAAAGCCTTGCCTACTAGTACAGGTGCAGATCATCGATCGCTATTTGGCAAATAAAGCCTGCCTTTTAGTACATTAGCCAATCGTAAATCGATATAGATTGACGATACTCTGGGGGAGGGGCTCGGACCAGACGTTAATTTATACAGATATTTTGTGATTTGGATGTTTAGTAATAAAACTAAAGACACGGTTGTTGTTTAATTGTATTGGTGATACCTAATATGAAATTCAATTGTAAGCTTGGCCATCAATTTTGGAGAATATGATTTGGAGAATTTCCCCACTTACATGACAAATACTTGACTTAAAGTGACTTTGGAAATGTTTTTTTTTTTCACGAGGATTCTACTTGTACATCATTTTATTATCTTTTGGGAGAATTCTATGTCACTTCCAGTCAAAAAAATAAATTAATTAAATTTAAAAAACTTGCTGGTTGAATAAAAGTAACTTTAGTTCAGAATTTGCCATGGGTATGGAATATTTCGGGCTTGACTTTAAAAGAATAAATAATCTTACTATATCATACTATGCTACAAATGAGAGCAAAATATACATATATATAAAACTTCAACCCATTATATTTTAACTAGATGTCAAAGCAGAATTTCTAATAATATCATTGTTAAACTTTTTTTCATGTGATGTTTTAATTTTTATATATACTTTTAAAGATAAATTTTTTTTGTGTTTTTGCTTTTATTATTATAGGATAGTGTGTAGATAAGAAATTAAGTTGGAGAGAGAAAGGGGAATAGAATTGGGAACGGTCTACGAGCTTGGACTTAAAACTCGGGACACCTGAAACCCTATACTGTATATCGGTCAACTGATCACGGTGCTATCTGTGCCTAACATAATATTTTTATTTTATTTAACTGTTCAAGTTACAACAACACAACTTACATACACTTAATCATCATTCATTTCAAAAATAGAATTTATTCAATCTAATCAACTGGCTGAAAATCACCTTCAGAACATTACCAGAGCCACTTTAATCTCTATTTCAGTATAGTGTGACATCACATTCTTATTAAGTTTATATTAACAACTTGATATTATTGGACATCCATTTCATTAACATCACCGATGATCCATGATTAACAATTAAATAAATAAGCAAACGACAACCCGAGACGATCAGTCACACTCTTAGCAGCACCTTGTTGTGTCAGGAAAAATTGTGTTGTAAAACAAATGAGTATAGTGGGAAGATGGTGAAGAATCACTGCGAGACGAGAAGAAAGGATCAAATTAAAAGCACCTTTGTCATAATAGACTCACTACAGAGAGGAGAAGTTTAATGAGGTGTGGACAAAACCCATCTCTGGAGCCACAAAATGCTATGAAAGGCACTGCGACACATCACTATTATATGTGCACATCTGATTTACGACAACCTAGTCCTCTTCGCTCTGAACTGCGAACCACAAACTTGCTACCTTACAACCATCCGGCTCAATGGCCTAGAGAAGAAGTGCAAAAGACAATAGGGGAAAAAATTACAACATGGAAAAGACAAATTGGTACCTGCCATCTGCCTCCAGCACAATATTACAGTTAAACACCGAAACAAATTTCCTCCGTATGAGAGCTGGAATGGTGTAATTAGGTTACCGTTGAAATAGATTGCATCAACAAAAAATATTAAAGTTTATATATAGATGTAGATGTCTTGACTTTCACACTGTTTCTGAATGTGTATCTTTTATTTCTCTTGCTTTTTAATTTCAATGTGTTTTGTTATTATTGTTCTACAGTATATGTGGTATTATTTTTACAGCACTTTGGTCAGTCTTGTGGCTGTTTTTAAATGTGCTTTATAAATAAATGAACTTATTTATGAACTTATATTATGTTATGTTATGTTATGTTATGTTATATTGTATTATATTATATTATATTTTATTATATTATATTATATTATATTATATTATATTATATTATATTATATTATATTATATTATATTATATTATATTATATTATATTATATTATATTATATTATATTATATAAACAGATAAATTGAGTTGTGCAATTGAGTTGTGCAATTGAGTTGTGATTAATCATAATTTTAGATTAAATATTTGATTGAAATTTTTTTTTTTGTTATTTGTTTGTTTGTTTCTTCTTGTTTTTTTATGCACCCAGAAACATTAAAATGATCAAAGTTGCCATAAAAATTTATAAATATAGTGAGAATCTGTTTTATTTATATAATGCAATAAAAATATTAAACAACATTGTTTTTTAGCATTTATAATATTAAGGCCAAATCCCAATTCTACCCCCTAGCCCTTCCCCTTACCCTCGTTTTGTGCATTCATGTGAAGGGGTAGAGGTGTCGACATTTGTCTTTAGCTTGAAGGCGTAGGGCTAAGGGAAAGGGCTACAGTAGGTAGCCCTTAGAACAGAGTTTTTTCAGCACAACACTCGAGACCAAAGGGTATGAAAATTTCCCAGAATACACCATCTAGAGTGGCAGCATGGCTGCACATGGAAGTCAGTAGATGCACAAATTACTATTTTTTGTCAATATTACAAATTTTTACAACAAACAAGCATATGTTTCAAAACAATCATAACCACGTTCGTGTTTTACTGTCATGCTTGAAAAAAGCGCGAAAATAAAAACAGCTAAATCTGTAATCCCTAATAATATCTCCTGTATAGCAGTCCCACAGCATTCTTTCACTCAATGACACTCAAATACCCTGTCAGAAAAGTCTAGTGGCTTGGAATCCCCTTTTTAAAGTGTCTGCTATAATGTTAATGTTGTTTTTGTACAGTACAGTTATGAGCTTATTGCCACAATATATCATCATGATAACATAATATTGTTGCCTTCAGTGATTTCCTGAAAATAAATACATAAATACCCCCCCCCCCCCCCCCCCCCCAAAAAAAAACAAAAAACACAACTGGAATAACTACAGCAGTCGCAGTCATCTGATCTCATATGAAGCAAGAGATTGCGATAACATATGATGATGTGTGCAGGTGTTGTAGTGCTGTCGCATTTCTTAGGGGTAAATTTTGAAGCCCTTCCCCTTTGCACTTCATTTCAAGGGGCAAAGGGAAGGAGTAGGGGTACAAAAACAGAATTAGGAGTGGGCCTAAGGGTGAATTCACATTGGATCATTGACATTTTTGGTTCATTTAAAACAAATTCAGCTACAAATCATTTAATTAAGTGTGTCATCTGAACTTTGAGAATAAACAAACAAGCCACCCCGACACAGGTGAGTGGGCTAAACACACCACCTGTAGAAAACACACTCATTCATCTCATTAACCAACACAAACACTGCACATTTATGAAGTGTGCTTCACACAGGTGAGTGGGCTTGACAAACCACCTGTAGAAACTCTCCCTCTCTCAAATAATAAAAAAACATCTCTTACCCTAGCACTAAATTATCTGAGAACAAACAAGTTACTTTGTATAACTAGCACTTCTTGTTTGTATTACATCATATTGTTGAATCATTGAATGCCTCCTCAATTGTAGGTCACTTTGGACAAAAGTGTTTGCTAAATGTAAATGTAAATGCTCCAAAAACGTGTGTTGAAACGTGTATGGTTGCTCTTAGACTATCTAAATTGTACCAAAACAGCATGTTATGTCACAAAATATGTCGAAAAAAGGACAGAATTCTCAAACACACTAGTTTTTTATTATTATTATAGTTACAATGCCGGCCATTACAGTTGAATACAACAAACCTGCCACCTCACAACCATTTGGCTCAATGGCCCAGAAAAGAAGCGCTCAAACAGAAAAACTGAGCGAGGAAAAAAAAATGACAGCACGGATTAGACAAATAGGCACCTGCCATCTGCTTCCAGCACAATATTATAGTTAAGCACTGAAAAAAAACTTCCTCCGCATGAGAGCCAGAATGGTGTAATTAGGTTACAAGGAGAGTGTACTGACTTCCGTGCGTCCTGATTTGCGCTCCTGTGCATTTGCGTCCATAAGTACGGAGTCCATAAATCTTTGTTTGACACTGCAGTGTAGGTGTAAACGGCGCTAGAACAAATGGAGACAACAGGCCCCTGAGAATGTGTCAAATGTCACCCACCATACATTCGACGAGAGGCCTATTGTTTGTTTTCACGGCTGGTAATAGCATCATTTTTTCCTGATTTTGAATTGGTGTCAGGATTTGTAAATAGAATTGTTATCTGGCAGCCAGATGCAGGCTCTCCCACCTCTTGCTCCTTAAGCGATTCTTATTGTGTTGTACTAAATTGCATTTCAGCTTGAATTGTTTAGTTTAATTTGTCTTAAGAATGCTGTGGATCTCAATATGTCTCTCTCTCTCTGTTTCTGTGTGTGTGTGTGTGTTTGCTGTGTATCTTCTTTCTAGCTATCGTATCACCACCTCCAGAGCTTGTTGCCTCCCAGCACTGTAGCCAAACCGTTTATGGATGTTGTGAAGATAACAAGACCGCTGCCCTGGGTGTTGGACTGGCTGGATGTCCTAGTACGTATAACTGTATCTATTGAGTAATGTAGTGCTAAAGGGGGGGGGGTATATTATATTATATTATATTATATTATATTATATTATATTATATTATATTATATTATATTATATTATATTATATTATATTATATTATATTATATTATATTATATTATATTATACACTCACCGGCCACTTTGTTAGGTACACTTTACTAGTACTGGGTTGGACCGCCTTTTGCCCTCAGAACTGCCTTTATCGTTCGTGACACAGATTCAACAAGTCACTGGAAATATTCCTCAGAGATTTTGGTCCATATTGACATGATAGCATCATGCAGTTGCTGCAGATTTGTTGTCCCATGATGTGATTCTCCTGATCCTCCACATCCCAAAGATGCTCTATTGGATTGAGATCTGGTGACTGGAGGCCATTTGCGTACAGTGAACTCATTGTCATGTCTCATTGTCCCAAAGTGTGCCAAGAAAATATCCCCCAGACCATTACACCACCACCAGCCTAAAACGTTGATTCAAGGCAGGATGGATCCATGCGTTCATGTTATTGGCGCTAAATTCTGACCCTACCATCCGAAAGTTGCAGAAGAAATCGAGAATCATCAGACCATTCAACGTTTTTCAAACGATTCTCTGTAAACCCTAGAGATGAGTGTGCGTGAAAACTCCAGTAGATCAGCAGTTTCTGAAATTCTCAGACCAGCCCTGTCTAGCACCAACAACCATGCCATAATCAAAATCACTTTTCTTCCCCATTCTGATGCTCGTCTTAAACTGCAACAGATAGTGTCTTGACCATGTCTACATGCCAAAATGCATTGAGTTACTGCCATGTGATTGGCTGATTAGACATTTTTGTTAATGAGCAGTTGGTGTACCTAATAAAGTGTGTATATAAGTGTATATGAGAAGTGCATTTGAAAAATATGACAAGCAATTTGGATAGGAGAAATTAATCTAAGATATTGATCACTTTTAGGCAATAAAAGTTTATTGGATGAATTGATTTTTACGTATTTATGTTTGGAATAATGTAAAGATATTTGATAATAAATCTAATGATATCATGATTTAAATGCCAACTTGTACCCGTTGCACACTTTTTTAACCCATTTAATATGTCAAATTTTATATTATATTTATAATATTTATATTATTTATATATAAACTTGTCACAGCGTCTATATATTGCTGTTCTATATGTGACTTGTCATTGCAATGTATCTTTTCAGTTTTCAAAAATGTATTTTGGGTCTAATAGACTTTAAAGCTAAAGCAAAAAAGGAGACTTCAGCTCACATCTGCTTGAGTCTTCCTAGTCCACTGAGTCCTTCAAAACCCCATTACTTATTCTATTTTCCATTTAAATCAGCTGATTCTCCACCATTAATTTCTAACTTGTTTTTCATGGAAAATCCCTCCCTCCAGTGGGTTTTTAACAATCGTATGCATTCAACATGCATACATTTTTGATCATGTAAGAACAATTACTTGTGTGTCATATGATGTCCTTCAAATAGCAATATCATTGTTTTCGACCTCATGATCCAGTATATAATTAAAAGCATATGGTTAATTGCTTATGACCAACCAAGAGTGCATGGCAGATGGCAGATCTTAAGTCCATCTAGGTAAAAGGTAAAATCGAAATGCATACATTCATGCATTTTTTATGTGTTCAGGTTAATTTAGTAATATTAACAAAATACAATACAGTTCACTCTCTGGTGATTTGAAGTTCTTCATTTCTAAGTTGCTTTGCATAAATGAAAGCGAAATTCTCTAAATGATATATGTAAATGTCATTTAATTTTAAAATCTGAAGCTCATTAATTGCTTTGGTACTTTTTTGTAAGGGGAAGTAAAATGCACATATGATAATCATGTTTTGCTTAGCATTAGCACAGCTTTTTGTTTTACCTTCAGGCATAAAAATGATAGTTTGAACATTAAGTGATCCAGGAAAAAATGATAATAAACAAACGAGAACACACCCTAAGAAATATTTCTTGACCACCAAATGTACACATTCAGATAGTTTCTAATAATTCTAGAAATAATTGATAATTGCATTTAAAATATATGATAAATTGATAATTTGGCAACCTTAATGTTTTTAAGTTTTTTGGAAAAAATAAATATAACCTTGGTTTAGATAAGAGAGCTATTTTAAATTAATGAACATTCTTATTCATATTAATGGTGTCATTAAAAGTGTTTCTTACATATCTTGTGGTAGTAAAGGCCTCGAACTCTGTCCTAACAAGGCTTAATGAATAAAAAGCAGGGATGTGGGATCTGAACTGAGAAGAGAGCATGTTATAGGTTCATGAATGTTAATTAGATGATGTAACATTTGTCCAACAGTTGCTGAAGCAAATAAGTCTGCCCTAGCCGTATTAGAAATTGAGCATTCATTCTTTTTATCCACTGTCAATGCAAATGGTTTAACCTAACATTTTATACCGCCGTTTTTTCTTTGCTATATGGCCAATAACAATTAAATGGAAGTCATTTATATCTCTCTGTAAGAATGTAAATGTAAAACATTATATATATTTTTAATTATGCAGAAAGGAAGCAAACAAAGCATCTGCATGGACCTATGTGGTCCTCCTAATGATTTGTCTCTTATACTGTAAATTAAAAGAGTTATGAAAGCTTGTTTTCTCCACTGCATAAAAATAATTAGTGGTTTATTTCTCATAACTCTCTAAAGAAGTCAGAATTGCAAATAAGTAAGATTTTCAAGTTATCTGCCAATAAATTTGACAATTTTGTTTATATATTTTTAATTCTTTCTTAATAACTAGTAAATATAAGGAGGCAATTCTGACAATAGTGAGAATTCAAAGTCAGATTTATGAGATAAAAGTCAAAATTATTTTTTTGTATTATTAATTGTCTTCCGTAGGAGTTATACTTTATGTACAATTCAGAAACCTTTGCTATTAGTGACACTGGTGGCCATTACATGAACTGCAGACATTAACTTTTTACTTGTGCTTGATGATTTTGATTTGAATATGTAAATATGTGCCTTGTGTTTTCCACTCAATACCAAAATAAACGCAAATGGCAACATAGATAAAACAGTGGAAAAGAAGGGATCTGACCATAGTAATTTACAGTAGATATGCTTACACAAGCTCTTCAGTTGACTGGCATCGTGTCATGTCTATGAAGTCAATAAAATAAAAACAAACAACATAAGAATAGTTAAAGTACATTCAAAACTACTGACTATATGGTTCTGTGTGAAGCTATAGTTTGATCCATTTTCTTGTGTGACAATAACTTTATAGTAAGGAAATCCTCTTTCTGCGTTATCTGAAAACATTGTAATTGTTTTGGATGCTTTCAGAAATGTGTAAACTGATTTTATGGTGAAGGACTTGGGATGTTTTTGCCAGGTAATTCTAAAGAGTGTAACATTTACACACATTTATAAATGCATCTTGAACGATTATAATATAATAAGCTTACAAGACAACCTAGGAAGTCTGTAAACATTCAATTTTTACAGTTTCCTTATAAGCTGTTCACTAATTAAATGGAACATCACATTTTAGATTATGAAATCCACTAAAGGATTTACTCTTTTTTGGAATTCCTTGGCAAAAAATACCTAATACCTAAAATTCAGTTTACAGGCTTACACCATAGACTGTAAAAGATATGGACTTAGTATCCATGACGTCATCTATAAGTTTCTAAAGAGCGCAAATGAAGCTACAAGTAGGTGTGGCCAAGATTCGCCATTTTGTTCGCGCATCATCACGACGACTTTTTTTTGGTGGGGGAGAAATACTTAATTATTCATTTCCTGCGACTCGTGTATGTTCTGACCATTTGTGTTTAGTTGTGTACTATATCATTAAAATGTTTAGTCTTCAAACAAACACTGTTATAATACATCGAGCCACTAAGCATTGTTTTTATGACATTTTTTTCCACAGGAGGAAAACAAATTAATGATAAAAAAATAAAAAAAAAATAAAAACATTTATAGAGATGGTATAAGTACTCACCTGGGAAATGGAGGCCACTTAAATGGTTTGTGAGCACAATAAAGTGCACACAGCATGCAATATCTTCTGATAATTGTAGGAAATAATTCCAAAAGGCAACTGACTGTGTAAAGCCACAAAAAAACAACTCAAAAGTTTGATATATATGCCGAGTTCAGAAGCTAATCAGCCGGAATCAGCTGAGTTGACAAGGCGGCAATAAGTGAGACCTAGCAGTCAATCAAGTGGCCACGCCCTTAATTATGCATACTTAATATAACTTGATATAAATGAAATGGATGAGTTGTAAAAAAAATAAGTTGGCCATATTTGCATTGGGGTCAATGGAGATGTGCTCTATTATGGAGCCAGGACTAGCAGAATTTTGATGAATTGCAGTTTCAGTACCTTCTGTATTAGCTTCATGACGGAGAGCAAGAGGTTGCTACTTGGCTTACACAGACAACCTTGGAAGTCCATAAAGATCTATTTTTTAGAAGTTCCTTAAAAGCTGTTCACACATTAATTGAACATCAAGTTCTAGATTGTGAACTCCATTAAAAACTATTTTTTTTTACAGGTATGTGTCAGTGCAATCATTACGGCTCATACGGAGGCACATGTGACCCCTCGACTGGCCAGTGTTCCTGTAAACCTGGTGTCGGTGGACTGAAGTGCGACCGCTGTGAGCCCGGATTTTGGAACTTCCGTGGCATTGTCACAGAAAACATGAGCGGCTGCACACGTAAGCATCACTCTCCTCTCCCTATCCCGGCAATACATATATACAGTATGTGCTCTTAGGGCATTTTCTGTTAAATGTGTTAAACATTCCTTTCTAATCCCAAATCCGAAGTGACAAGCTACTCATTTAACGTTTGCCATCCGCAAATGCGATTTCTGTCAAAACAAGCATTTGGAGTTAAGCCTCCGAGCCACTGTGGGGTAATGGGAACTGCATGAGAGCACAACGTGGCCTGACCTATAAGTTCTGCCTACAGACCAATAACCCCCGTTTATGTGTGTTTGTCGGGAAAAAAAACAAGCGTGATTGAAACAGTTTGTGCTCCGTCCCAGGGGTCCTGGGAGCATTAGCACATTCTGCAAGCCACGTTTCGCTTTCACCCCTGGGCATCTTGACCCAGGTTTGAACTGCGGCGGTCATCGACAGAGCGAGCGCTATTGCTGGAGCTGTGGGGTCACGGATTGGAGCAACTCCAGATTGCATGCATTTGCCGGATGTGTTGATGTTTTTGTCGAAGTGAAATTGAAGAGAAAGAGACAAGGAATCTAATCAAAACTGTTGAAGCAGATAAGGCTGACAGGCCTCTTTCTCTTTCTCTTCATCAGCGTGCAACTGTGATGGAGTGGGTTCGGTTCGTGATGACTGCGAGCAGATGTCAGGCCTGTGCTCCTGTAAGCCTGGAGTTAAGGGCATGAAATGCAACGTGTGCCCCGATGGCAGCAAGATGGGAGTCAACGGCTGTGAGAAAGGTAACGGCGGGCTTTTAATTAGCACAAAACTCAGACAATCTCTCTAGGATTACACTTCTAAGGTTGTGGTTTTAGGAAGTGTGTAATTAGGTCTGTTTTTTCGCAATGTTGGACACATGTAGAAGTGACAGCGATGCTTAATTAATAGCCTTTGTTGAGCAAAAGTATGCCGACTAATAAGGCTTTTGGTGTCAGGAAACGTGATGTTGTGGTAAGCTGTGAGGGGGGTGTGGGTTCGAATCTGACATGTGTGATAAGGGAAGTAAGCATTAGATGGTGTGAGGTAGTGATTAACTATTTGTTATTGCCAAATTGATTGATTAATTAAATTAAATTGTTATTTTATCATTATTATATTTGATAGACAGTATAGTGTAGATTGACCAATTATGGAGGATTACATGACCAGTTTACGTAGAGCTTATGCCATTATCTAATAATTATCAAGCATACAGATACAGCGGTCCCTTGTTATTCGCAGGAGTTAGTTAGTTAACCCGCAATAGGCGAAATCTTCAAAGTAGTCAGCTTTATTTTTTACAATTATTATATGTTTTAAGGCTGTAAAACCTGTTGCTACACACTTTTCTCAAACAGGCATTGATATTTCCACACTTTTCTCTCTTGTTTAAACAATCTCAAAGTTCAAACCTTCATAGAAAAGAAGTCCTGTGTTATAGAAACCAAAGATTATAGAAACTAAATAATCTTCAATTGTTTATTTCGTAATGGCGCCCTACAGCCGCGTAACTTCTATCTACCTTTAGCATATCCAGAAGTCTAACTTTTTGTTAGATGATTAGCATCTGCCTTTTGGGTGCTACTGCAAGTGCCTTTGACGGTGCAGAACGTTTCATCGACATTGTGTGGAGAAAACTTGTAAACATACAGTACAGCATTTCAGAGACACACTGCTAACGTTTAAAGATTTATGTTAATTCGGCAAGCTAAACGCATTCTATACTGTACAGGAGACACGGCACACGGGAGAATGATTGACAGTGATCTACAGCCAGTCAGGACAAAGAACACAATGTACTAATCATTACGCAGAACACAATGCGCTGTGAAAAAAGCATGTCAAATCACAAAAATCCACGAAACTGCGAGGCTGAGAAAAGTGAACCGTGTTATAGTGATGGATCACTGTACATATCATACACACATATATACATACTAAAATATAGATTTTTATATATTCGTGTATTTGTTTTTAGGACGGATGGATGGATGGATGGATGGATGGATGGATGGATGGATGGATGGATGGATGGATGGATGGATGGAAGGACAGATGATGGATAGATAGATAGATAGATAGATAGATAGATAGATAGATAGATAGATAGATAGATAGATAGATAGATAGATAGATAGATAGATAGATAGATAGATAGATAGATAGATGGATGGATGGATGGATGGATGGATGGATGGATGGATGGATGGATGGATGGATGGATGGATGGATGGATGGATGGATGGATGGATGGATGGATGGATGGAAGGACAGATGATAGATAGATAGATAGATAGATAGATAGATAGATAGATAGATAGATAGATAGATAGATAGATAGATAGATAGATAGATAGATAGATAGATAGATAGATAGATAGATGGATAGATGGATGGATGGATGGATGGATGGATGGATGGATGGATGGATGGATTAGATTTTTTTGTGTTTTATTTTATTATTTTATTTTAAATTAACTATAATAATTCCAATCAAAGGCTTAGACAACATTGTTATATCTACATTAAAATAAAAAAAGGCTTATACATTTATTATGTGTAATAAAAGTAATACAAGTATATATAAAATGATATGCTATAATCTGATGAAATCAATGAAGTTCAAAGTTGAGTCTTCAAAAGCGCATCAGGGGTGACAGTGAAATTCTCTCTTGACGTCGCCCCCTGTGTCGGCTCGGTGAGAAATATGGAGTCACTGTCAGCTATTGACAGGAAGTGAAGAGCTTAATGAACCCAACAATCCCAGTGTTCCTGCCGCGTTCCTGCCAGATAAAAGCTGCCACATGAAAGTGCAGAAAGGAAGCCAGTCAGTGCTGCAGGCCAGGCGGCACAGCCCAGCGCTCAGATGTCAGAGTAAAGAGGAGACTTCTGTGCCAGACAAGGTCCCGGCTCTGCTACTGATGCTAGGCCATCTTTCTGATGAATTTCAGTGGTGGATGTCATCGGCTGTGTGTTATAACATGTAGCCCATGCTGAAATGACCAGCAAATATTGCTTTTGGGAATGCTGGGATTTCACTTACATAAAAACAAACATTTCAGCGGCATTAGGTGACCCTGGCTTATGTTTTAACATCTATAGTAGAGATCATTATTAGAGAACAATTTATAAACATATCATTTAAAGGGATAGTTCACCCAAAAATAAAATTTGCTCACCATGAGCTCACTCTTAAGTGGTTCCAAACCTTTAAGAGTTTTATGTTTTGCTTGAACACAAAAACATGTAACCTGTAACCATAAATGTGTTTTATACCTGCAACAAATACTACGAAATTCATGGCTTCCACAAAACAACTGATTTTGTGTTCAACCGAAAAAAAAGTCAAACGGATTTGACAACCGAAAGGTGAGAAAATAATAACAAATGTTGTTGTTTTGGGAGAACCATCCCTTAAAAACAAAAATCTTTATAGTTTCAGTCATTTCAGTCTTTACCATGATGGTAAGTGTTTTACAAAATAACCAAGGCGCAGGTGACCAAAATTATAAAGAAACGCAATGATAAAGCATTCGTGCAATAAGATCTGAAGGTTACACAAATAAATTAGGCATAATTTCATCACTAAAGTGTACTTTGGACCAGTTCTGTATCCACACAAACAAGTTCCAAGATTTATAATGAGTGACCATCTTCTCATGTTATAGCCAACCTATTTTCAGAGGATTTAGGTAACTTGAGGTCACAAATAAATAGGATGAAATAGTAAAAATTTAAGAAACAATTTAAGAAATGTTTTGCTGGTTGTTCTCCATTTTTGATCTCCACTGTATGTGCTTTTATACCCCAAACGTAGTAAATACAGATTATGCATTAACTATTCAACAGGACCTAAGGCTCCCAAGTCCTGTGCTGAGCTTGTGTGCCACTTTGGGTCTTCATGCGTGGAGGTGAATGGACAGGCTCACTGTGAGTGTCCTTCACCAGATTGTGATGAGAAAAACAAGACCAAGGTGAGCTCATATAGACCTGCACACTCTCAAAACACGTTCTAATGATGCTTTCTATCTTAATAATTGGCATGTTTGTGGACAGGTATGTGGTTCTGATGGGGTCACCTATGCAGACCGGTGCCAGCTGAAGACCATCGCATGCCGACAAGATAAAGAGATCAAGGTGGAGCATTTAGGCCAGTGTAAAGGTGAGATTAGTCTGATGTACTCGGATTGGTTAAGTCATTGAACTGAGTGAATGATGATATTAATAAACCAAGATAAATAACTAGCTAATAAAATCACACAATGTGGTCTTGAATGAAACTGTAAAATTGTTTCTAGAGAATTTTCTTTTGTGTTTATTTACTTGCTTTTGTTATTTTGTATTATTAATCGCCTGAATTTATTTGAACTTTTCTTTTTATAATTGTAAAGTTTTATTTATTATGTATAAGGTTAATATTTAACCTATATTGGTTATTAGTGTGTGTGTGTGTGTGTGTGTGTGTGTGTGTGTGTGTGTGTGTGTGTGTGTGTGTGTGCGTGCGTGCTTGCGTGTGTGTGTGTGTGTGTATAGTTTAAGACAAAATTACAATTATTAGTTACAGTATGACATTTTTTACAGTATTTACTATTATTATTATTATTATTATTATGCAATCTACATCTTAAATAACCAACTTGCAATAGATATGTTATCGTTTCATATTACTTACACATGCGTATAACCTAATTATATATGAAAGACACTTGTCAGATTGTATTTTAGAGAGCAGGTGTGAGATTCAGTTGTGTCCTCTTAATTTTCTGTTTGATTTAGGCTCAATCTAATATGGACTGTCTGTCTGTCAGTATTTATACAGCGCAAAATCGCGTGCTATTAGAGGCGTGATGCTTTTCCTGTTGACATGAAGCTAATCCGCGAATCACAGCACATTATGTTAGCTGACCAATCAGAGCCTTTAGAGGGCAGGCCTTTTGGAGGAACTAGGAAATATGACAGTCATTTTCATGTTGGCTGAGTAGCTGTAAATAATCAAAGTAAGCTGTATGAAAAAATAACATGAAGCATGAGCACACATTGCTTTGCATCTTATAAACAACCAAGCCTTAAAAATACACTCTGGACCAGCCCTTTAAATAATTTCAAAGTAAATGTCTTTTTTGGGGGGGCTAATTAGCCAAACTTACATAGTTACTCGAATTAACTTAGTTAAGGCTATAAATTAAACTACTTGTATCTTGCAAAACTAGTAGAATGAATAGTCTTTATTATGCAAACAAAATATATTAGTTTTTTAAATCTCTCTATTTAACAGCTCTTAGGAAATATTTAAAAAGTAATTAAAGTTTGACATTATGGCTAATAATAGAAAAACAAAATAAAATGCTTTATTTATTTCATTATTTTTTTTGTATGTTTCGTTTTTGTTTTCAATATTCTGTAATAACATGTTAATACTGTATACAGTTTAATACATGTGCATATAGACCAACGTAGTCTCAACGTATTTCCTGTTTTACATTTTTAATTTCCATAGCTTCAGAGAATCCAAAAAGAGCCACATATTGGTAAATATTGTAATGATAGCTGTTTTAGCATTAAGTTATGATTGATTTGCTTCTTGTTACGGTTATCAAATAGTTTCATAACAAACAGGAATTGTTCATGGGCCAATGACATCACCACATTGAAATGGTCTATATAGTGTTGTTTTAAAATTGTAAATCAAGTGATAAATACTGCTTAAGGAAATTGATTTTTGCAGTTTGTTGGTGTAAACTGAGTAGCTCACAGGCAGAAATGAGGTCACTGGGTGTGCAGTTGTCTATGGGATGTGTAAGATGTGGGTGGTGGGTGTTCAAGGAATCGGAAAAGCTTCCTGACAGATGCTCTCCTGTAGATAGAGCTGTGCAGCTTGGCTTCAGGCTGGTTTCTTTGAATCCCCTGGAACCGGGCGACATTTGAGCTGTTTGATTTGCATCACCCCTGTGTGGATTAGCAGAGTTAACGGCACAGTCTGAGCGAAGCACCTGCAATCCGCCGGCTGTGGAGAGAATGGGGTATCGCTGTCTTTCAGTCTTAAATCGCAGATCGCCCGCTCTGTTTATGTGTGAGCGAAGGGACCTGGTAGAAGGCCAAGGTTAAGACTTTCATGTCGGCTGTATGTAGGAAGCGCTGTGCCAGCTCATGTCAGGAGGTGTCCGCAGAGGACTGATCTGAAATGGACATAATGCGTGCTGGACATCGCCAGCTGCTGCTCTTTGGATCAGATCCAGTGGCAGGTGCCAGATATTTTCAACAGCAGCCTGTGCTGTCAATGCCACATAAGTGATTCAGTTTCATTGTCGACTGCTGCACCGTTTCCTGTATTTTTTTACACTACAGTACTGGCAGCAATGTTGCAATGCCAGTAAGTTACTGTAAAAATGGTTTACAGTACAGTTATTGTAATTTATTTTTACTGTACATAAACATTTTACCTTTAAATTTTTACAGTATTATACTGCATTATACAATCCAAAATATAACTCTCATTTTAATAAGAGTGTACATCAATGTACATTAATAATTGCATATTTGTCAATAAATGTGTGATTACACGATTACATAAATTCGCTAATATAATGTAAAGTATATTGCGATAATAATGTATCGAAATATAAAAAAATAATTGCATTGTAATTATAATAGCTGTGCATTGTATTACATTATTATTTTAATATTAATTATAATTAATATCCTTATTTTCGTCCGTGCAGTGGCGCAGTAGGTAGTGCTGTTACCTTACAGCAAGAATGTCACTGGCTCGAGCCTCAGCTGGGTTAGTTGCAGTTGTGTGTGTGTGTGTGTGTGTGTGTGTGTGTGTGTGTGTGTGTGATTGAGAGTCAATGCATGTTTCCCAGTGGGTTGCAGCTGGAAGGGCATCCGCTGCATAAAACAAATGTTGGATAAATTGACGGTTCATTCCGCTGTGGCGAATGAATAAATAAATGAATCCTTATTTTCATTTAAAAATACATTTTATTAGAAATAGTCATAATAATGTATAATATAAAATACAAATAGCTGCAAAAGCTTAGCTGCAAAATATTAAATGTATGTTAACATTGTGCAGTTTTGAAATTAATTATCGAAAATTGGTGTTATTTATATTATAATTTCAATACGAATTAGAGTAATATTTATTTTTTACAAATAGGATTTATTTTCAAATTGTATCGATTAATTACATAAACTAAAAAAGGTTTTGCTGCATGTTTAATCTACTTATGTAAAATGAATTAAAACAGCACAATTCTAAAGTTTATTTTGGGACAACTTTTTTTGTTTTATGCTCAATCCACTCAAATTTGTAAAAAAAAAAAAAAAAAAAGTTAACTAGGGATGTAAAGATTCACCTGACTCACGATACGATACGATTCACGATACTAATCTCACAATTAAGTCATGATTATTTAAATTAATTAAAACAAATTTAAGATGAAGAGCCCTTTTTTTTTCTTAAATGGTGCATATTTATTGCAAAATAATGAATTTTCTGCTAAAACTAAATTGCTATTTTAAAAAACAAACAAAATTAATAAAAAGAATAATATAAACTAAAGAAGACTCATTAATACAAACAAACTAAAACTGTGACTGTGCTCGGATTTACATTTTTAAAAAGAAATATCAGCATATCTATGTTTTCTGCCATAAGCTGAGGTCTTTGCTCATTTACAATGTCCCCGGCTGATGAAAGAACTCTTTTACTGGGAACTGAGATGGCTGGTGCAGAGAGGAAAACTATTCCTAAACCAGACAGCAGTGTGTAGAGGAGGTCAATAGACCCTCTGACCCAGGGGACTGGCCACTGGCATAAAATACTGATTATAAAATTACTAATTGTATAGTAGGATAGAAACAGGAATGGAACATGATTATGAAGGTGAATAATTAATATTACTTGTATACTTAACTGGTATAAGTATCAGTGTGATACACCTAAGAAGTGAGATAATCTTGAATATTTTTAAATGTTCAATAATAATAATCAAATTATTAAAATATGCATAAATTAATTGAAAAGGGAGAGAATAAAAATAACTGGTTCTGTAACAAAACAGCTTTCTCTTTCAGTCTAATATATTCACATATATTAAACAGTCACATATATATATATATATATATATATATATATATATATATATATATATATATATGATTTTCAAATGACTCACGACGAATCGTTACATTCCGAAAGTTAACTTAATTGATTTGTGTTAAAACATTATAAAAGAATAGTGTGGAATCCAGCATTTTTTACAGTGTACAACACATTTTGAGTTCACCGCCCAATCGGTTTGTGCTGTGAACTGCAACTCATTATTTCAATATTTTAGTTTGTTTAGATAATGTTTTCAGCTCACATTTGCCTGCTCATAACACAGTGCAACATAAACCCATGTTTAGAGATCACGATTGGATCATCATCCCTGTAGTCATTAACCAGAGCACCTCTCTGTTATCCTCAGCTTCATGGCTTTACCTGCCTGTACAATAAAAATCCAGCTGCTTCTCTGGGTTTATTCAGGGATCTAGGAGGAAGTAAAGAGCGGGCTTAGGTTGGAACTTCACCAGCCTAGGGCGGAACTGGCAATGGCAGGGCCATTTATTAATTTCTTTTCCCAACATGTGGGGCAAAGCGGGCCCGCAAGTGTGCAGCCCTGAGGTGGAGGGGCTTGATCACAAGCTCATTTCACGTGTGGCTGGATGTGAATTAGCCGAAAGCCTGTCTTTCTCTCTCGATTTTTCTCCCGCTGATCTCTTGACGCTCTCCCATCAACAACTCTTCTTGATGACAAACGGTGCTATGAAATGCCACACGGAGTGAGCTACTCCTCATGTTGGCATAGCAGGCAGCAGATGAGGCAATCAGTGGCACATCTTGGTACATGACGCAGGGCGTTCGGGGTCTTGAATGGCTGAGAAACTTTTGGCTCACCTAGAGTCCAAGTCTTGGCAGTTCCCTGCGCTCACATATGGTGTCATCACCTGTACACTTGCTGCAAATTGGCAGACTACATATTAGCATATGGGAAAGGGGCGGCTCTCGGCATTTATGTTAGTTTTGTTTATCGTTTTTGTTCTAAACAACCTTTTCCGGGTTCAAAATCAGTTTACTCCTCACAGTATTGAAAGGAATTTCACATCTGTCATTAG